GTCAGAAGATACTGGCATAACTTTTGGGGGGCAGCCCAAGTCCACCATTTAGTTTACTAATATAGTCACTCTATTTCAGGGCCATACTTTCCCAGACTAAGATGGAGGTCTCTATTTATTCAAGTAAATAGTAAATTTTAAAGCAATAGATTCCCAGAAGGTACCAGACACTTTATATTTAGTTTCCTACTCCCCTGAAACAAATGACAAAAAAAAGCACACTGCAATTTAAGTGATTTTGCCCTCCTTTGGCAGAGCAGCAGGAAACAGCAGTCCTGCAAAGATATATAAATTGTCTGAAGCCCTATTTCATTTAAGTGCTAATCCAAGATTGAAATCCACATTTCTTTGACTACAAAATTCATTATCTATCCCCAAAGTCAGTTCAAATTCAAGTTTGCTTATCAGATTCAATAAGTTTTATATATATTTTTTTCATTTTGCTTTCTTTATACAAGAGTATAAAGAAGAGATGTCAGTGACAGAGAAATACATATATTAGGCTTAAAAGCAAGCAGTGCTTTAATTAAATGCTCTGCTTTCTTTATTTAAGTAAATAAAAAAAATTATGCATTGGTGCTTATACCTTTGCAGTAATATATAATTTCTTTCCATTGTTAAAAATAATTACTATAGTTCTTTTAATTCTGAAGCAAAATTAAGTGTGATAACCTCAGTATTTAATATAAAATGTAGAAAACCAGGCACCTCAGTTATTTAGTTGATGAAAACAGGGGAAGATATTAGCAAATTTATGGAGAAAGAAAGTTGTAGTAGTCTTTCCCTCTCATTTTTGTCAGCTTAATAAAATAAAGGCTCTTTTATCTTTCATTCAAAATATCAAAGGTTCACAAAATTATAGATAAGTAAATTGTCAAATGAATAGTTAAATAGTAAATAAAACTTCTCACTTTGGACATATTCTTGTCTCTATTGCACCTCCAAAGTCTGGGAACATTTTCATAAATGTAAAATATTTGCACAAGAATATGTCATTCATCAAGCATTAAAATGTATCATCTGCACAAATGTATATTTTTAGGAATATGTTGAACACCATGAAATATTAATTCCATCATTAAAGAGCTTGTCCAATTCAGTTAGGTTTTAATCTGGTTGGCTCCATGGTAGACCACTATCACAGCACTTACCTTGTGCTGTCAATTTCAACTTATGGCTTTGACATTTTGCATTATTTGGCCCTCCCTAGTTACATGCAACAAGTGCTAATTTGAACATATTGAGTGAAGGGGAATTCAGAGGTAGAATATCAGAAGATCATAAAATCAAGGAAGAATTGCAGAATCAAGCCTGGGGAAAACAGAAACAAAGGCTGCTCCAGGGACACATGAATGATAAGGGTTTTGTTTTAGGAACAACTGGGCCAAGGCATCCAACCAGAAGTAATGAACCTAATCACTGTAGCAGTGTTCTTTATTTATTGGGAGCCACCCATGAGCTATATTAAGCATCCTCTCTCATCCTTAAGCCAAGTGGGTGTTGGTCTGGCATTGCATGTTGTTTGTGCTGCGTGATGCAGGTGGCCTCCTCCTTCATTCAGCAAAGAAGTCTGCTTTCCCATGGCTCTGGACCTGGGTGTTACTCTTTGGGGCTTGACCAGCCGACCCCCTGCCTTATGTGGTAAAGAACATTCTATCGAAAATCCTTTGTTAATTCCCCTATAAATAAATGGATCATGAGTTCTGGCTCTCTTTAAATCAGGGAAGATGACCCTTAAGGTTAAAGAGCCATCCTGTCCTCGATTTGAAAAATTATGTCTGTGTTGTGTGATTTTTTTGTGTGTGGCCTTGATAGCTTAAAGTTGCAGCCAGCCCATTTAAACCCAGTCTATCTCGTCTGTGTATGTAACAGTCCAGACTTATTCTCATCAATTAAATTCCAGTGATGCAGCTACTAATGTCCTAACTCGGATCACATGCTCATATCTTGCGTAGGACAGGGAATTGAAAGAGAACACATTCCTTAGTATGTACCATATCTTGAGAGAAACACAACCCTAAAGAAAGAAATCAGAGATGATTAGGAATGAGGAACATTTTAGGATGAGCAAACAGGTGCACTTGGAGATAAAGAGCTGTGTTTTTCAATCTTTGAATTCTAAACATTTTGTATAGAATGTATGCATAGCAAATATTGTGGTCTTACATTGTTGGAGTCATTACAACTGACACTGTTTGGAAAGATTTCTCCAACCATAAATATGTACGTTCCCTTTGATTCAGTTCTGACCTTTTTTTTTTTTAATCCTAAGAAACCTATTGCAAATAAACAACAAAAGGGAAAAGATAAACAAAAATAAATTGACTTCAAAATATGCACTAGCTTCTAAGAAGGCATTGATGAATAAAAAGTAATATCTAAGCTGGTTATGGTGGCACACTCCTTTAAACCTGGATACTAGGGAGGGTGAGGCAGGAAGATGGCAACTTGAGACCAGCCTGAGCAACTTGGAGAGAACTTGTTTCAAAATAAAAATAAAAAGTGCTGGGATATAGCTCAGGGGTAGAGTGCTCCCAGGTTCATTCCTCAGTACCATACACACAAAAAGATCAAAAAGCAAATAAGTAAATAACTAAAAGAGTAAATTTTCTTTTTAAATAAGAAATAAATGATATCTACCCTTTTGGAAACTCCCAGCCTATTAAGTGAGGCAGATGTTTAAATCAATGTCAAGAATGATATGAAATATCCATTCAATCTGGAGACAAGAAGGTTGATGTTCATCACAATATTATTCACATAACCTCAAATTGAAAACTGTCAAAATATTCAAGTGCATCACAGTTTTCCAATTATACCCTATGAATTGTATACCTATAAATCATAGATAAAAACATGTAAGGGTGGCAACATTTATATTAGATGCGCAAAGACAGTACTTAGAACATGGGGGCTAAAATTGTGGCTATATAAGATATCCATGCATTTTAATATTGATGAAGACTGAGCGATGGCATTGAGAAATAAAAATAACTATTGTCAGAATATATTTCTTTTTTCTTAAATGTTGTTAAATATTAAAAGAAATTTACAAGGCAATCCAGGGACTATGTTCAGTTATCTGATTGTTCAGTAGAAACAAAATATACTAACTTTTCCTCTTTTCTGTTTCAGTGATTTAATCTATTCTTCACAGTGCTGCAGCTATAGTTCTTATTGTGAGCCAGGGGAGACTTTCCTTCAGTACTAGTGCTTATTTATTGCTTTTATTCTTTTTAACCTGTTTCCTCAATGTGACTGTAAGTTGGAGGCTATGGGAAGATAGGTGGTAGATGTTCAGTATATTTTAGCTGAATAAATAGCTGTTTTGATTCTTGTTAAAATTGATTTTCTTTTTAATGTTGCTATCCAATAGTGCCTGTCTATTTAGGAGTCCTAAATGCTTTAAACTCTCTAATGGAAATATAATGTCACCCTTCTTGCTATAAAGATATTTTTCTTCCAGTTTGTCTATTTCTATAGAACTCATCAAATTTCATCAATTCTAACCTTTTATCTCAATATATAATACTTGTCCAATCTGCTTTAAATTGTCAGTATTGACAACTCCGTCAGCCCTTGTTACCATCTTCGTGCTCATTTTAATGGCTTCTTTATTAGTCTGCTGATCTCTTTGTCTTCTGTTCTATTTTTACCTGTATGCTGCTGTCACATCATGGTAACAAGGTTTTGGCCATGCCATAATTGTTTCAAAATATCCAAGGGACCTCCTTTTGGCTACTAAATTAAGTATGATCTTTGTACTACAATTCTGTAGCTCTCTACTTTGCTGTATTTTTTCCATGTTTAGTCTGCTCCTACGTTATAAAGCCACATGCTAACACAGGACCCTTCTTCCTTTGTGTCTTTGGTTAAATGATTACCTTCACACAGAGAGTCTCCTCATTCTTGCTGAACTATTCAGAGATACATTTTAAAGATACCCCGTCTACAATGCCTTTTCTTATTATACCAAATGAAATTGGTATACCATATAGGTATATGTGTATCTGTCTATATATTTCTTTTCCCCCTGTGATCAAAGTGTCAGACTCAGGAAATAGCATTTGTTGAATTTATTGTTTGTCTCTTCTGCAGAAGTCCCCTCATGCTTTGATGAGTGTAACACCATATTTAAATCAGCTCTGCCTGAAAAAGACATTCACATTTGAGTGGATAATATTAGAACTATCTATAGTGATATAGAAATACATTAGTTGTGGCATACTATTCTCTGGTAAAAACCAGGAAACTTCTTGTTCAATTTAGTGTTCCTAAAGAGATAAATTCTAGAATTATATTTAGGTTTCCCAGAGGTATAAAGCAGAACTTGCTTAGTGAAGCAATGGAGTGAATATAATCCTCTATGTAATTTATGAGGTATTACATAGCATTTTCTTTATTATTATGAAAATTAAGCATGCTAGGGATTTAAATAAAGAGAAAGAACGGGTATCAGCCTTTTTTTGTTGTTGTTGTCTGGAATTAAACTCAGGGCCACCTGACCACTGAACCAAAAACCCAGCCCTATTTTTTATTTTCTTTAGAGACAGAGTCTCACTGAGTTGCTTAATACCTCACTTTTGCTGAGGCTGGCTTTGAACTCGCTATCCTCCTGCCTCAGCCTCCCAAGCCACTGGGATTACAGGTGTGTGCCATGGCACCCAGTGTGGTATCTGGCTTTTGAGGGTCCAGGATCTTTAAAATAATATATTATAAGAATTGAATATATTCATTGGCAAATTAATCCCAATGGACATCACCAATGAAAATTTGAACAAAAAGTATTTATTTTCAATATGAATAATTTCTAAGTTACAGTTGTAAGGTCTCTGTTATATACCAATTGCTACTTTCTTGTTTTTCTCTGAGTACAATGCTGCCTTTGTACCATGTTTTACAATGACTATGTGAATCTGTTTGTTAAATCCATTTTTCTTGTTTTTAATGCTTTCTTTCTCTCTCTCTCTCTCTCTCTCTCTCTCTCTCTCTCTCTCAAGCCCCAGCAAAGTGCTACTGGAAACAATGAAAACACTCGAGTTGAATCAACTAAGAAAGAAAATCCAAGTACCATTCCTTGTGATTCTCAAGATGTAAGACTAACTTAAAGTGGTTTGAAAAAAAGGACATAAGCATTTTAAAATTCTTGTTCATGTCTCCATGAAACTTTCTAATCACATGTAATATGTGCCATATAAACTTTGAAATGCTAAATGTGATAATGCAAATTCTCTTTAGATATGAACTAAGTAGTTGTTCCATTAGGGAGTTCCACCACCAGATTCTTAGAATGTAACTGTGAACAGATGTTAGAGGCATAAGTTGGTGACTACAGACTCAGCATCATGCTTCGTTTCCACAACCAAGAGACTGGAAGCCATTAAAGTATTTCAAAACAAAATTTTAAAAAACAAACACAGGATATGATTCTGTAATATTCTCCAGCTAAGGCAAATAATCCAAGTATTATGAGACATCATATTATAGGCAGGAAGATACTTAACCTCCAAATTATATTAGAAAATATAGACCTGAGTCCTATGGTTTTTCATTCAAAATGACAGTAATGAAATTTTAGCTCTTTAAAGTTTCAGTGTGGCAGAATTAAGCTTGTAGATCTATGATGTCTAGGTTTAACAACAAATGCCAACTGTGTTGTGCAGATTTAATTAGACTAAATTAAAAATTAGAAAGTGCATACTCAGATCATTCATACCTGAAGAAACCCAGGCAGCAGAAGAAGGAAATAAGGGAGAGAGAAAAATAAATAAATAATATCATCCCTTTTTCCTCTGTTGTCTGCAAAACTGGATTTAGAAAGAGGGATTTCTCAATAGTTTACCTTCAAATCTTTGTATATTGAAACATGTACCAAAACTATGTAATGTAGAACACCAACTTAACTAGTAGCAGAAATACAATATTTTGCAATATGTTTCTAAAGGAACAGTCAGAAAGGCTTTGAGGAGAGAAAGAAATATTTTTTTTCTTTTAGTTTGAATGATATGCAGAACTTTCACAATGTGATTAAGTTTTCAGAAGCAGAAAAAGATATCAGAGCAGTACAGAGGTGAGAATACAGTGCAGAAAGTGGTGAGGTATGTATCCAAAACATTAATTTGTAATTATGGAGCTGGGGCCTTCCAAGATACTGAGGTAGAACAAAGACCCATCCTTCAGAACCCAATTTTTTATGATCAAGTCAGAAATATTTCAGACATGTCATTCAGAATAACAGAAATGAGTTTATTGAAAGGATAGGAAAAAGGAAAGAGGACACTCTCAAGGGACAGAGTGGGTCTTCTCAGAGAGGAGGGGGACAGTGTGTCTCTCCTGCACTTTAGCTTTATTGGGGGATCCCAGAGAAGTTTTCTAAGAGTCCCATCTGGGTCCACCTCTTGACTTTTGACTGACAGCAAAAGGACATGAAAATTTTAAGTACTCTCTGCCACGACAATTCTAGGTCCCCTGTGTCTATGCTGAGTGGTTCTAATTAGATTCATAACCATAAATTCTTACAGATTTTATGGTTGGGGCAATTATCCTTATCTTCCAGAATCTTGTCTATGAAAGCATCACAAAAATCTCCCTCTTCAATGTAACTTGGGTTCCTCTTGTGAACATTTTTTCCTGCATCATTTCCTTGCAGATAACAGGTAGTTTGCTGAGGAATGTGACATATCCTGTCCACTCAGCCCGGGCAGGGATGCAGATAATTTTTTTTTTTTTGAAAAGAAAGCACATGCAGAATCACATCAGTTACAATTCTGCAATCTGTATATGGGGTAAAAATGGGAGCTCATAATCTGCTGGAATCAAATGTATAAAATATGATATGTCAAGAGCTTTGTAATGTTTTGAATAACTAATAATAAAAAATAAAAGAAAATTTAAAAAAGAAAGAAAAGAAAGCACATGGGCATCAGCACAATAGGCCCACTTTACAGAATTATTCTCTTAATCCTGTGTCCCACCATCCTCATCTGTTTGTCCTCTAACACTTAGAAAGTGAGGGCCCCTGAATTCCCTAGCTAAGGAGATTATTTTGAATTAGGGAGATAGTTAATATTCCTAATGTTTATGACCAACTAAGTGGGAAAATCATGGTATTAGTTTTAAGGAGGCTGTTTTAGTATTTTGATGTATTTTTCAGAAACTACATAAAAACATGTTCTCATTAGACACAAAACTGGAATGTTATGTGTGGTTTGTTAGTGTCCCCCAAACACCATTCTGTTCTACTTTTTCTACCAAGAATTCGGCCTTCAAAATCATGTTACATTTTGCTCTTTCTTTCTCTCCTCTTCTTCATCTGTAGCAACTCCTCCCTGCCTTCAGTAAGTCTCATAAACATCTACTTACTCACTAGTGGTCCCTGTCTGAATCCCTTTAAAACTCTTCTTCCACTAGAGCTGGTGATATATCTCAGTGGCAGAGCACTTATGTAGCATCCACAAAGCCTCTGGTTCAACCCACAGCACCCCCAGACCAAAAACAAAAACAAAATCAAAGCAAAAAACAAATAAAGACTTCCTCTACTTGCACAAATATGAAGAATTCTCTCTCTAATCTGACCTCAGTAGATTTTGGTTTGTTGTGTCTACTTTTAAGCAGTTGCAATTTCTAGTGTAAACAGTGCTCAGTGTTCAGAGGTTATAGATTCAGGCACAGTTGCAGGCCAAAAGAATAATATAAATAAATGAAATCAGTCAACATAGCCTATAAGAACTAGTGGAAATTGTGTGAACATCAGTTTTCGAGTTCTAGACCAGTGTTTCCTAGCCCTATCTTTAGCATTGTATTACCTAGAGAACACTTGCAAAATATTATCCCCCAAGATGCACTCCAAGAAACTTAATTCAGCTCTCTTGTGAGTGAGACCTGGATATTTATTTCACTTATTTTTAAATTTCCCCACACAATACTAAAGTGCAAATCACTTTTATTAACAATGATTTTCATATATAAATAATCATAAAATCATTTGAAAAATTAAGATTATGAGCAACTACTCAAGTATTCTATATAAATAGAACTGGGTGGATTGGGTGGATTTTCTATTCTTTTTTTTTTTTTAATAGCATGTGCCTAACAACTCTATTCCAATCCAGTTTATCCTGAGGATTATGATCCATAATTTGAAGCACTTTGCAGTTGAAAAAACGTAATCTCTGTAGTTATCATACATTGCTAACTTTTTTTTTACTTCTATTACCCTATATTTGCATTTTAAAGAAGAAAACTTCTATGTGAGTTTTTGTAATGTTGACGATGAACAATTTTGGTATCAGCTTGAAAAGGGTACAGTGAATTTATCCTAGTTGAAACCTTCATTTATTATATAATCACCTTCAATATTCATATATGCATATATAATATATGTGTGTATATACATATTTGTACTTATGTATCTCTGTGTTATTGATCAATAAACTGGAGTACAATTTTATTCATTGCTAGACTTTATAGAGAAAGCTGGTGGACAGTGACCACTCTAAACTACAGAGTCTAGGTTATGATTAATCTAAAGCATTGAGAGCCCTATAGTTTATTTTTATGATTCCCCAATGTTGAATTAAAATCTATTGACTTCTTACAATTTACAGAAAGAAAAGTGGGAGTATTTGGATTGGTTAAAGCTATTGTCCCTGAACTTGTTGGAATTCACCTAGAATATTCTGAATTTTGTTAAGGATTGTGAAATATATCATTTCAACTTCAATATGTCAATATAAAAATATCGTCAACCAACCTGACACTATACAAAGAGAGAAATTTAAGTTTGACCTTTGGATTGCTTCATTGCACGTTTCAAATGACCAAGAAAGCAGAACATTCCTTCATTTAAGAAAAATAAAAAGGCACAAAATACATTCTTGGCTCATTTTCCTCATTTATATTCTGTAAATCTTGTATATATTATAAAATATTGGCATATGCCTTCTTATGACTTTTCTTCAATCAGAAATTGAATCAGTGCTTCTCAGTTTTATACAAGAAAATAAAGTAGGTGATAGTGTATCTTCATTTTAATCTTAATAACCTTAATTGACAAAATTAATGGTTACCACTTTTATTCCTATTTCCTTTTTAAAAAAGTTTTTTCAAAGAATTTTAATTTTAATTCAGAAATTTTAAAAATAATACAAGTAAGTTAAAATAAGTACTTAATGAAGGTAATAACAGAAAAGATTGAAAACAAAAAAAAGGGAGGAGCAAAAATAAAGATCCATTAAACTCAGATTGAGTAGAAGATATTGATAAAGGTTAATATGAACCCTCAAAGTTTGATTGACTGAACAGTTTCATCACTCTTCTCAGATAATATAACAAAGAGGGAGATACAGATATTTTAAGTTAACATTTGTACATCTGCACAGAAGAGAGTGATGCTCTCTCAATGCTTTGAATGAATGAAAGGGGAAAATGGAATAAATTATTTGTGAAAAACTTGATAGTTTTATGTAAACAACTTTATTGAGATGAAATTTGAACACCACACTTTCAACCCATTTTAAGTGAATATTTTAGTGACTCTTTGCATTTACTCCATTGTCCAGCCACTACCACAATCTAGTGTTGAAACATTTCCATCTTCCTAAGATTCTACTGCCTTTTTTTTTACAGTCTTATTCAACCACAAACTTAGTCTCCATAAGCATACATTTCCTCTTTTCCATAAATTTTATGTGAATCGATCATACATGAAATGTAATCTTTTTCATCTGACTTCGTACACCTAGTATAATGAGTTTTAGTTCAGACATGCTGTAGAATGTATCAATAGTTAAATCTTTTTTATTGTTGAACAGGATTTTATCATATGATTATATTTCTCTTTTTGTTTTTAATCCATTTACTATTTGGTACCTTTTGGATTGTTTAACTTTGTGGTTATTCTGAATAATAATGTTATGAAAATTCACATAAATATCTCTGTGGGGTCATATGTTTCAATTTCCATGGGGTAAATGCCTATAAGGGGAATAACTGGGTTTTATTGTAAAGTCATGCTTACCTTTTAAACAAACTTTATTCAATGTGGCTGCACCTTTCACATTCCTGTTAAAAATGTGCAAGAGTTCCAGTTTCT